GAAGCCCTGCCTGAAAGTGGAAGTGAGACCATGGGCGCTGATCCTGCGTCTCGGGGAGGAACGCTAATGATTGCTGAACAGGCGGCTCGGCATCTTGGGACAGCGGAGGGATTTAGAAAGCGCTGCGGGGGACAGGGCACGGAGATAGCCTGTGGAACGGGAGGCCGCTGCCATTTAGGATAAGTGATTAAACGAGAACGCTTCCTGCGAGTGAAAAGTGGCTGAAGCTCTGGGCATGACTGACGCAACATTTTCTCTTGTACCGTATCCTAATGCGTGCAGCTTCACACCCGTGGTGTGTGAGTGTGACTGAGCCAACACGCAGAGTTCATTATTATTACATGTGTGTCTGTGCAGGGCAGCACTGTAATTTGGCTGTGGTTTTGCCCAAATAAGAAGGGAAAAGACAAGACGCAGAGGACTGGAGTCCAGAAGCATTCAGGACCTTGGTTTGTGTGCCCGCCACACATTTCCCCCCCCTGCAGCTCAGGAACCAAGACAGTTGGCAGTGGGTCTGGTCTGAGTCATGGCTCCACCACTTTGTCCCAGGGAAATGCTGCCTTGGAGGTATGCCCGGTTGCACTTCTTTAAAACCCAGCGTTTCTCCTCCAAGCTCTGCCACCGCTACTCTAAGTTGCCCGCTCTGGAAGTTCTTTGGACCCTTTTAGAGCCATTGTTGGTTAACTTAGTGTTGCCCCTGAGTACTTTCACTCTTGTGAAAAGCAGAGAAGGCGTAGAAGAGAGACTGACATTGCCTGCTTAGCTAGTGGAAGGTTTGAGATTTGATGCCTGTCCCTGGGCTCCAGGGAGCAGTTGATGGGGAAAGCCCTCCCTGGCTTGAAACCCAGCATTGGTTAGAAAAAAGGAGCCACCCTCTGCCCTGGCGTAATCCATTTCCCTGGAGTCACGGCCTTCCAAGAAGCAACGGTGTTGAAGGTCCCTTCATTCCCGTCAGTGCCAATGTTTTTCGGAGAGGGTTACACAATGTCTCATGGCCGGCAGGCAGGGCAGGGGGGACGAATGCTAGACGCCTTCACCGTGCCAGCCTCTTGACCCATCTTCCCTGGTTTCTGCAGTTCTCACAGCTCCTTATTTGTTTTCAAGGATATTTTTTGCAACCCTGAGGACTAAGCCCTTGAAGACTCTTAGTTATTCAGGAAATAAGATTGGGTACCCCAAGTTGCATTCTCTGCTCTTTGAGAGTTGCTGTGCACCCAGCTGCATGTCTTAGCCGGGGAGGAACAGAAGCACGTAAAAAAATGTACGATCAGGTTTGCACAGCTGCAGCCATAGATAGTTACTAGTCAGGTTGTGTGTTTGGAGAAGAAGGTGGGCCTCTGGTTCTGGAGGTCTGTCCACTGGAAGAGTACAGGGAGTTGCTGCAACACCTCAATGGGAGCATGGCGCAGTTACTGTTCCTCAAATTCTGGAGCAGCTACTAAGCCTCCAAATTGGGGGTCCTTGGCTCTTGGCAAAATTAACTTCATCGCCCCTCAGCTCAAGCCAGTTGTCCACTTGGCTCTAAAAGGAAAAGTCTCCAGCTGAGAAGATGACCATCAAGACATTAATTTTAGGACCTCTTAATATAAATGCACCCAGACAGGGTGGGTAATATATTGAAACACAGCCACTTTTTTAAAAAATGGAGCTGGACAGCTTCCCTAAGACCAGTTCACCAGGTCTTTTTGGATCTGTTCAAGATGGATCAGCCTCCAACCCCTCCCTCCCATCTAGCCAAAACAAGCACATATTTTTACAGTTGGTTACAACCAGCAAGCAAGAAGGAATGCAGGCAGTTAGCCCTTTGCTTTTAGGACAGAAAGGTTAAGTGTTGGTTAAACACAGAACTGATGTTGCGGCATCAGAATAATTCTGTGCAAGAGCGGGTTTACAGACAGCGTTCTTCAAATACCCCTTAATTTTCTGATAGTTCTGTTCAGCCCAAGTGAGCACCGAGCATTTGGAGTGGCACGTGGGCAGGCCGGGTGCACGTGGGAGGGCTGTAACAGAAGATGAGACAGATCTGCCGTGTCACTTATGTCAACGGAGTGTGGAAAATTGTTTTCCTGTGGATCCCGTATGTGCCACTATTTTCATCCCACGATGCAAAATTCTTTTTCTGAGGGGTGAGGTTCCCTCCACAGATTCCTAATGGAAGCTAGGAATAGTCTCGACAGGAGCCTTGCAATGCTCACCTTGGGGTCCTGCATCTAAACGGGTGCTTCAGAAAGTTGGCTTTTGGCACCTTAAGAGCTCTCAAATGGAGTACGTGGTTTGCCCGAAGCGGCCTGAGCAACAGAAGGGCACCAACCTCAGTGGCTCTGCTCCAGTCCCAACCTCCTTTCTCTGGGCTTTATTTTCCCTGCAGGATCCATGTTGGGGTGTGGGGAATACATTGCCAATGTTTACCTGGAAGAATGAAAAGCCAGATCCCAGAAACACGCCCAGACTCCTCCCCTCCACCCCCGAGCCCTGAAAACCGGCAGATTCCCATGGCCTGCCGTAATCCCCAAGACCTGGCTGACACACATCCCATCTTGATACTGCCGGTTTCATGAATATCAATCTAGCCTACTGGCACCCTGGCTTTAGAGCAGGAAGCAAAGGCTTGGCCAGCTGCTCAAGAAAGGTGTTTGGTTTCTGACTGTACACAGGTGGCCGCTTGTCTTGCTGGCTGGAAAGATGGCTTAGTTTTTAATTAAAACTCTGTCCTAATACCTGGTTCATTAACTCTAACTAGCGTAGCGTGGCAGGGGGACAAGGAGACTCTTGTTCAGCATCGGCTGTTAGCAGGGCAGGCTTACTCTTTCAATTTGTCTTCCTTTTTGTCCAGGCCTGATCTCCCCTGCCTCTTCAGAACATAGCCATTCTTTTGTAGCCTCGTTCCAAATAGTGGTCTCATTCATCCTCAGAGAGCCTGGCCTTTAAGGGAGTCTGGTCTCAGGTTCTGGGGTGGTCTGAGGCCAGGGTGGGCCTGGGGAATCCGCTCCTTCCTGAGCTGTAAGGTTCATGAGGCTGATCCGTAAGGCAGCATATCTACAAGACCTCTTTGTGTGCGTGTGGACTCTCTTGGCCCTTTGATTACTACCTCAATAAGCATACTATTCATAGGAATACCTCAGGATAGCAAGCAGTTTGACCCCTGTCAGTGTGTAACAGGTAGTTCATCCTCAAATGACTTTTTCACCTGGAGGAAGACAAACTCTTAATGAGGTTTCCTTGGCTTTCTGGGGATAAGATGGAGAAGCTATAAAGCTTTCCTTGCTTTTACGTGGTGCTCACATGGGAAGTGGTGTTTGATCACATCCATTAGCTGGTCAGACATGTCGGTGTTGTCCATTCAGACTGTTGACCTCTCTCCAAAGCTTTAGACAGAGGGAGTTTTTTCCATCATCACCTACCAGATCTTTTTTTTTTTTTTTAAATCTTAAAGGGCCAGGTGCTGCACTTGGGATTTTTTGCATCCAAAATTAGTGTTTAGCTAACACACCCCTTTACAAATTGTGTGTGTGTGTGTGTGAGGGAGAGACAGAGGTTAACTGAATAATAAGCTAGATTTTAGTAACTCAAGGCTTACCTATAAATGACTAACTTTTCACTCTTCCAGCTGTGCATATTACGTTATTTCAGCAATATCACCTCTTTAGGGAAAAAAAAAACAGGTAATTTTTTTTTTCCTTCTTCAAGTTAACTAGCGGTGTTGGGCAGAGTGCCCAGAAAGCTCATTAAACCCCACCCAGAGCATGAGCTAGTGGAAAAAATTAAGCTGCCATTCACGGTCAGCTTATTCTCTTAGCAGTTCTTAGATTTCCATTATAAATATTTACCATTTTTAAAGCCCCCCCCCCTTCCAGGAATTGCTTTACAGCAAGTTTGGCAAAAAGCAGACATTGTGAGGCACATCTGCAGACCTGCCTACGTCGAGCTTTACAAGACCACACGAGTGGCCGCGCTAATGGGACTGGAATTGCATTTGCCCGTTGTGTATGTGCAGCGTGCTCCGGTTGTGTAGAAGAGGGGTGCATTGTGTTCCAATAACTGTACAATATCAGTCTGTTGACTTAAATCTAATTCTTTGCCCTTCCCATCAGATGCTGAGAAGGCCACCGAACTGTGCCACTTGAGCACTTAGAGGAGACCTTTCTGTCGGCCTCTTCCTGGTTTTACAGAAAGGCCCTTTTCGTTTCCGATCTTTGGGACCTCTGGTTCTTTGATCCAGTGGTCGTGACTTGTGCGTGCTTGTGCTGACTGAAGAGGCCTTACCTTTTTTGGATTGTTAACTATTCTGAGATGGGTGACTTTTTTTTTTTAAATGTGGCATTTTAACTAGATGACAGACAAAAGGAAAATCAGAATCCTGAAGGGAACTGATTTATCAGTTATTGAGATTTGGGGTAATGTCAGCGAAGAGGTTGAAACATCTGTTCTCCTTTTTGGGTGAATTGAAAGTTATATGAATGTGTATGTGAAATAAGAGCACAAGGAAAAAAAGTTGGCATCGGTTGGCTGTCTTTTACAGAGAAGTTGCCATTTGCTAATCTCTCCTCTCCCCCATTAAAATAAAACACATTTTATCTGCCTTTTGTCATCCACTGAAAAGCTGAGATCAAAGCCAAACGTAAAACCCAGTTTTGATAACAGCAGTCCAGAATGGTAGCGCTAACCCCATCAAAAGAACGATAGAGCTGTCTGAGAAGCTCCTGGGGGGGAGGTTACCAGACAAGACCATTCTTCCCCACAAGCTAAAAGAGGAAGGCCTTGGGGGGGCTGCCACCACAGAGGTGTAGCTGCTTGTCTTCAAAAATCATAGTAGGAGGGGAGTTGGTTTTCTGATGAAGGTCTGAATGGACAGGAACGGAAAAAGGGGGATTGTGTGGCTCTTCTAAGTCCATGCTGTTTTAGCTGGACGGGCCAAAGGTGGTGGAGATAGCTTCAACTCAAGAGTGATGCATGTAGAAGCATAGATTCCTGGCTGGTTTGCCCTGACTGTTTTTTCTCTGTCTGCTTTCTGCCTTTTTCTTAGGTTCCCAGCCTTTGCGAAGATCTCTTGTCTTCTGTTGACCAGCCTCTGAAGATTGCTCGAGACAAGGTGGTGGGCAAAGACTACCTTCTGTGTGATTACAACCGGGATGGCGATTCCTACAGGTAGGGAGAGATCAAGGGTTCCTCTTCTAACATCCTCCTCTAGTTTTGGCAAATGGGATGTGTGTTCTCCTCTAGTTTTGGCAAATGGGATGTGTGTTCTCCTCTAGTTTTGGCAAATGGGATGTGTGTTCTCCTCTAGTTTTGGCAAATGGGATGTGTGTTCTCCTCTAGTTTTGGCAAATGGGATGTGTGTTGCTGTTATTTTACCCACTGGAGCTCTGAAGACATGCCACACCAGGAAGTCTTCTCAACGGAGGCAGGTGGACAAAAGGGCACGGTTCATTTGCTGCAAGATGAACGGCACACGTTTGGCTAATTGATTGGTTCACCGGCAGAGAACATGTAGGGAGTCTTCTGGGGAAGAGGTGCCATTTTGTATCTACGAGTAATAGTACTGTGTTATCTCTACACAAAGGTCAGTGAGGTCATGTGGAATAAGGGGGTAAAACTGTCGTAAGCACCCTCGTGCCAGACAAGCAACAGGACCAGCCCTGCTCACCTCTGCCCCCGCCGTTGTGCGGAGAACACGGGTTCAGCCTTGCGTCTGGGAAATGTCAGCAGCCACAGCCTCTGGAGGAGGAAGGCCGACCCTTTGGATATAAAAATCTGAGCCTCTCCCCTCAACCCCCTTTTCTCTGTGCACTCCTAGCCTTGCTTTTAATCGCCTTCCTGGAATTCTTCTGTATGGGGGTGGGGTGCTGCTTCCAAGAGCCTGTTTGATAGGAGTTTTCTGCAACAGAAATTGTGTTTGAAGATAGGCTGGCTAGAAGCTCCGTGTTCCCTCATCCCGTGCGGGGCCCATCCATCTGTCTTTCCTCAGACAGCCTCCCTAGAATGTGTTTTGAGCACTTGCTTGCTATAAAAGCACTTCTGGGGGTAATGCGATGGGTTTCTGGTGGATAAAATTACTGCTTTAGCCAGCATTCATTTCCCTTACCCTCTTAGGAGGAGGGGGTTAGGGTGCGTGGGTGTGTTTCGCAGGCCAGAAAAGGGCTGAGTTGGGGCTGTGTAGCTCGGGAATTCCATGCCCAGGGCTTTGTGGGCAAGACCTGCTAACCGCCGTTAAAACGTCTCTTCCTTATTAAAGGAGATGGGGAGAGAGATGGAACCTGAAGTGGTCACATGGCTCCAGAAACAACTGGATGTTCTTAAATCACAGTAAAAGAATTAACTTTCTGTCCCTAAAAAGTGCTTAAATAAAGAAAAGCCCAATACTCTGCCCTTTTGCCAACTATGGGGCACAAGCCCCAATCCTTATGATCATCTGAAAATACATATTTTAACTTAGTTTCTTCTGTTCGCTCCATTACCTTCTGTAAATGCTTCAAGAAGTACCCAGTAACAGTTAAAACCATTAAAAATGCAATCATACGCAGCTAATTAAAAACAGTAAAATCTACAGAGCTGGCAGCTTGGGGAAAAAAATCCAGGATGAACACAAGCCATCTGTTTTAAAAGAGCCACCTATTAAAGCCTCCTATGAAGCTGGGCGACTGAGAAACGGTGTGCCCATCAAAATGTCTAGTGTGGAGAGTGCCCGGGTCCTGACGGCGCATGGAAAAGATTATTTTACGGGGAATTTTTCCTATCCGCATCAGATGCGAGGCTGGGTTCCCTGTCCCATTTCTGAATTTAATGGAAGAAGGGTAAGAGGAGGGATTGACTGCACCGCTCTGGGCTCAGCGGGGTGAGGGCACTATTTTCTTTTCTGCAGCGCCTCTCCCTCCCCTCCCCTCCCGTCAGCTGGCCTGCTTCCAGAGAGCATTAATGCAGTTCAAACGGTTTTCTTCCTGGCCTTCCAATTCAGAGGCAGCCCCTTCTTACACCCCTTTCTCCTGCACACGTAGGCCAGACTGTAGGCCCCTGCCCCAAGGAGTCTGAATTGTGTCGTCTTGCCATGGCAGTCATTGCTGCTCGACAACTGCAAAGTCGGCAGGGGGATTCTTTGGACATTGGATGAAAAGTGTGCTTTTCCCCCCTTCTGCAGGTCGCCCTGGAGCAACAAATATGATCCGCCGTTGGAAGATGGCGCCATGCCTTCGGCTCGCCTGCGCAAGCTTGAGGTGGAGGCCAACAATGCCTTTGACCAGTACAGAGACTTGTACGTTGGTTCCTTCTCTGGTGGGGGTGATGGCTGGCAAAGGGGGGCCAGCTCTTAGGGCAGGAGAGACTCCAGTTCGTTCTCTGAAGGCAGTGACTTTTAGGGAGTGAGATCTCGCCACGAAGAGGTCTCCCCTTCTTTATGAGCCTGTTCATTTTTGCAGTTTGCTGTGCTAGAAGCGTGCAGATCTTTCTGTAGGAGGCATGAGCACACAGTCTTTCCTGAGGCCACCATTCCAGTCCTGTCCCCCCTCCCCTCCCCT